TCAAGCCAGTCAGTTCAGTACTGTCAATGGCAAATGCTAAAACATTTCAAATTACTTGTGTTACCTTTAAGGAATGCAGTAATTTTCAAGAGCCAAACAGAACAAATAATCTAAGTGATTACTTAGCCTATCTACTAATATTTTGTATGTAGCTGTCTGATGATTTACTATTTCATTATTCCATTAATGGAATCAGCTAATAAAACATGAATGCAAAATCCAAGTACTTTGGACAGTCACCAAAATTCCATGGTGGCATTATTTTCCAAAATAAAGATTTGACTCCTCACATGGTAGTGACAGCAGATATGACTTAAACTGGGAGAAAACATAGTTTCTCATTTGTTTAACAAGGCCAGCCCCAAACCCTCAGCATGTTATCTCTCCTTCCTCCTCTCTATTTTAATGTTTTTCCACGTGAGTAACTTGGGGAACACAAAAAGAACTGCAGAAGCAGGGCACACTTGATAATATATACCCTCACAAGATGAAGAGACATCCTTTCTAGAGTAATGCACTTGGTGAACACAGAGAGGTTGGGGAGAGAGGCCAGCAATGAAGTATGCTTTACAATTACTGTTTCCACACAGAATTCCTTTGAGATCAATAGTGCAAGAATCCCATTCATTTTGATGGGATTCATTTATTTTCGAATGTTATGAAAAGTAACTGCAGCACATAACATAGGCACAGTAATAACTTCACTGGAGTACACTGGCCATTGTCATTTGAATCACTGTGAAAGCCATTTTTTATTACAAAAGAAAGCAAGCCTTAGAAGTGGGTGGAAGGACATCAGTATTTAAAGAGATGTGTTGAATAACGTCTACCACTGAAACCTTTGAAACAGGAAAAGCAAATACTCTGGAAATTAAGATATGAATGCAGTTACAAAGTTTCAATGTGGAATTAATGGACTGGGGGAAGAAAACATTCTGGCCATGCACTGATCCAGCAAAGTACTTGGGCAACTTAAAGCATACAAGCAGTCCTACTGAAATAAGAGGGGGAAGATTTGAAGGTAAAAACACGCCCACGCTTAAATATTCTTCTGTTTATATGTTAAGAGTCATCTGCTAATTGTCTTTACAAACAATAACAACCCTTTCCAAACTTAAAGAAAATTTCAGAGAACCCTTTTACATTTCTTGTGAATTTAAAAGCATCTCCTACCTTAAACTAGGACCTAGAGAGTGGAATCTGGAAAAAAATGTCAAGATTTGTTCTTATTTTCAGATTTACATTTGGTGATTTGTGTTATGCCTTATTTCATAAAACACGTAACTAAAAAAATCTTTCTGCAAAGCAATGGCACCAAATTAGGGCTGAAGGGATCTCAAAAGGTCACCCACACCAATAGTTCTCAACCTCTTTAAATCTACAGCTCCCCTAAGCCTTTCTGAAAAAAATTCAGAGGCTGTTTTGAGTAGCGTCATCACAATTCATTTCTGGCCCACTCAAAATCAGATCTAACTTTGACCATCTCTAAATTTTTTTCCCCACTTTGCTTCTCTACAGCTTGCTGCTTGTTTTTGTTCAGCTGAAATTTCTTGCAACTGCTTCTGATGTCCTATGGTTCACTGACTGAGATACACAGAGCTAGTCCATCCTCCTGCCTTATATGTTATCAACCATATCTGACAGGTAATTACCTAACCTATTTTTAAGATTCCCCAGTGGCAGAGATGCCACAATCTCTCCAGCCAAACTATCATAGAGGTTTAACTACCTCAACTTTTGGAAAGATTTTCCTAATGCCAACTTAAACCCTACAGCAATATAAACCTGTTATTTTTTGTCCTAATTACGATGAATCACGAACAGATTATTTCCTTCTCCCCGTGACAAACTTTTTAATGCATTAAAGGCTTATTAATGACTGTCCTTAGTCTTCTCTATAGGCTTCACAACCTCACTTCCTTTTATCCATCCTCACTGGACATGTTTTCTAAACCTCCAGTCATTTCTGCTGCTCTCCTTTGAAGTCTTTCCAACTGTCCACACTCTTCATAAGCTATAGTGCCAAAACCTTGGACTTCAGCAAGACTGAGAAGAGCAGGACTGTTTCCCCCTTCTTTGAGGCTGTTTCTCTCTATACATCCCAGTACAATGACTGCCTTTTTAGCACCACTATGACATTGTTAACTCCTCTTCCTTTCCCACAGAACTGTTACCTAGCTAGTTGTTCCTGGTTCTGTATTTGTGCAACTGTTTGTCGAACAGTTGCACATTTTTTACAGATCTTTTTTGACTGCAATTCTTCTCTTTTGACTGTGAGCTACGTTCAATGTACTGTTTTCCAACCATCTGATATCCACTTCATCTAGACTAGAAAGGTACTGCACTGCACAATCAGAAATAATACTGAGAGTCAAGATTATATACATGCTTATTAAGATTCAATTTTAAAATTCATAATAGTTAATAAACACCAATTTTGTACCGTCTTTCACCCTAGGCGCACCACTTAAACTTCTGGAAACTGTAACTCTGAAGGGAGACAAGAACTCCTCCGAGTCACATGCTTGGAAAATGAAGAGGCTGAAACTGCACAGAAATGAAAACCAACAGGCCCTGAAGTCTCCCATGAAGCTGGAGGCATACAAACTGACACCAACCAAGAAGAAGAGGAGCAATAAACATTGGCAAGCAAAAACAAATGTTCATTTAAACCATCAATATTCAATAAGAATAAATGCCAAATTCTAGAAGTCTATATATCTATCTACTGCTCCTTTCTTAGCCACAAGGCCCATCAGAGAAGAAAATTAGATTGTTTTGACATAATTTGGTCTCGACAAATCTGTGTTGGCTGTTACAATTGGCATATACAATTTGAGATGTCAAAAGATTTATATCATTGAAAAGGTAGGGCCAATAATTGAAGTTCTGATGGGCCTAACAAGAGAGTGTCGTAATAAAGAAATCACTCAAAGGAATAGCACAGCAAGCAGTCAAAAAAACGCAGCTAATACTTAGCCAACTTGATAAAGAGAATTACTTCTACTTCTACTCTAAATTTATGCACACTGTATGGAGGAAAGCATGAGCTAAATGTATATAACACAATATAAATCTCAGCAGAGAAGAAACTCCTTTCTTTTTAACATTGCTCTTCTTGTATAGTAAACTTGGTGACTGGCAGTACATTTTCATCCAAATATGCACACATACAAAATTACAGATACATCTCACTCCCCCAGTGACTTTATAACATGTTGCTAGGTAACAGTGCATACAAGTCAGGTTTCAAGACCTTTAGTAAGTCACCATAAAATAACTGCATAGGCCTTTTGCATGAATAATGTACATTTGTATCCTTTTTCTGATGCCAATAGATCAGACATTGAAAACATGACCGTCTGCCAAACTGTAAACAGCTCCCCATCAACTGCTACATGAAAAACAACACATCAAAATGTTGTATGTTTTCTCAGCTTTCAGGCTTTCTTCCCTCTCTTGCTTTCTGCTCTCACTCTTGCTACGTGCAGCCATCATGAGCACTACCATCTCAGGTCAGTACAGTTGATGTGTAGAGCCACTTAGTGCACAGCAACCCAAATTTAAGATAGACATCAGAACAACAACATATATGGGACAGCTGTCAGACAACATAAAAAATTGATTTCATATAGAGTCCAAATTTGAAACTCAATTTAAAAAATGTACAAGCAAACCAAAACAGACAGATCCTCGCTCATTTTTTGTTGGTTGTAATAATAAATTATATCAAGAGATTTTTTTTTTTTTTTTAAAGGGGCGGTTTCTGTGGCTTCTTCCAACCCACACAGCAAACCATTTGTGCCAGTCCATTTCACCTCCTGCTTGTCCTCAGCTGTTTTCCGTTTTCCTGGTTGGCTCCATTAAGCCTCAGGCTTGATTTCTTGTGTTTACCCATTCTACTTGATTCCCCACAGAATTGTGATCCCAGAGGTATAAAGGTCTGGGCAGATAAGGACAGCAAGCCTTTCCAAAATAAATGGCTGCAGTTTCACCAAGGCAATGGCATTAGGACAGAACTAATTCCTTAGTTTACTTGACAATAAAATTTGCTAAAATATAACTTAAATTCCATTTAAAGGAAAAAGGTGACCAATTATTCTCTATTGAACAGGGTATCTTCTATCTCCAAAGTCTAAAACTTGCCATAGGGACTGCCATCTCCTTGTGAAACAGAAGTTTCTTTAGTAACATTTTTCCTAACTTCTTTCTCTTTAAAAATTAAAGGCCAATTTTGAAAACATTTAGTATAGAACATCCCCCCAGCATGTCCACAATTCTGAAGTGTTCAGTCAAATCAATAAAAGAGCACATAAAATATAATAGATTCACCCTAAACACATCCTCCACTTCAGAGTCTCACATATGAATATCATTCTTACAGCAATAATCTGACAGTGAAGGAAAACACAATAATCACAAGCTTTGCATTAGATATGGATTCCAATTAAAATAGTAAAAAAATTTAAAAGCTGTTCATGAATCTCTAGGACTACCTTTTATGAAGTGTTAATAATCAAGAAATACAGTAACATTCATACTTCACACGTATTTACTAGTTAGACCTCAAATACTACTCTGAAATACTTTATTGGTCCTATTTAACAGATGGGTAAAGGCAGAGAACTTAAGAGCTGAATTTTCTAACACGCTGGGCACTTGTGATCCTCAGTGATTTTAAACCAGAACTACATGTATTCAGCATGCCCGAAAAACACACCAAATGAGATTTGCCAAGGTAATTGTCAATGAACACGAAATCCTGGATAAAAAGTTCTTACTCCCAATCCCAGCAATTAAACAGCAAAATCCCCCTCTTCTCTCACCTTTTCCCCTCTTCCCTCCATCATGCACCTCTCCTTATCAAAAGAAACAAGAAATTATAAGTTAAGAAGTTGCAATGTTTTTCTCCCTGCAATTCCATGAGTTAGCAAACCCAAGACAAAGTGTTTCTTAGCCCATAAAGGAGCAGCTGATGCTGCCGCTTGCTGCTCAATTACCTGACAGCTTCATAAGAAAATCTGATGCCATCTTGACAGAGATGTCTTGGCTGAATAGTGCTGATGCTGTATTGGCCACAAAGTCAGAGGAGTCTTTCAGCTTTGTGTTGTTGGGGGCTCTGTCAACAGTGCTAAGAGCAAAAGGTGCAGCTGAGATGCCATTGTCATCTTTGGGCTCTTCTTTCACTAGTAAAGGTGGAATACCTCCACTAGGCTGCCCAGCCACATCAGGTGTTTTAGATACAGATGCTGATCCTGTAAGGTCAGGTCCACCTCCTTCCCTCTGTGGTCCCGGGCAGGAGTCACTATTTAGCTGTGGTGACCCCTTCACCTCAGTTTCTGGTATTTCCTCTTTCACTTTGGATTCTGTCCTGAGGAAATGTTGATGGCAACGCATATGGAGTTTCAGGCTGAAGTGGCGGGAGGAGGTAAAAGGGCATAGCTGGCATTGAAAAGTCTCACCCCTGTCTTGGTGCTGATGAACCTGGTTCAAGAGGTGAAAGATAAAAGCATGTATTAAGCAAAACAGTTTACTAGCGTTATAGAAATCTCAACTCTACACTTCTCACACCGTTTAAAAAAAACAGAAAAGTTAACTAATGGGTGAACTCTTCATTCTGAGCGCTTGGAAAGAGGTCAGGCACTAAGAACAGTAGGATTCTTTCACACATAAGTCAAAGAACATAAACATCAGACTCAACTAAAAAAAATAAAAATCAGGAACATCTGTTTCTGTAGCATGGAAATGATGAAGTCTGCTTTGGATCAAACAGTCCTTACAACTGGATCCTGATGACCTGTCAGTGCATAAAAAGACTTCCAAGCTACAACTAGTGGCTTTCTTGATTAAAAAACAAACCCCTATCTATTACATGTTCTGCTAAGCATGATCATTCTGTGCAACCTCATAAATAACAATTGTTCACAGCAACCCAGCAAAACACCAACCTGCATAGCAATGTCCATCATCAATTCCTGTATCATTAGAATAAAAACACAGCACCTGGCAATACCAAGGCACTACTGAAAGAGTTTGTTGCAAATTAATTCTACCAGAAAATAAACAGCTCTGTGATGGTAAAATACAAACATGAGAGGTGGTGTTTGCCATTGATTCTATTTTATCAGTCAATTAATGATCACAGTTAGTCTTACTGTCCTCATGTTTTGACTGCAGGCTCTTTCTCATAGAGACTGCATGCTCCAGTATGACTACAATGCCTAGTAGCCTCAGGCCCGATCCTCATTACCTTTTAAAGAGAACTCCATCCATCCATCCATCCATATGTAATGATTTACATATTATTTGAACAGACACACTCATTAATATAAACTATATACATACAATTATACAATTTCTTGTTTAACACACTACTCATGAAAGGGAAGAAATAATTGAGCCCAGCATAACAGTGGCAGGTATGTTGAAAAGTTTTTTCCCTATAGCTTCAGAAATGAATTTTAAATCCTGACAGTAGCACTCCAGGCTACCTCTGCAGAAAGACTGGCAAATACATACATTTTTTTCCTTACTAATTGATGAACGTGTGATCAGGACAAACTGGCACCAGACTGAGCTCTACACATTCATTTTTACTTGTGACTCGAGTTGGTTGGAAACATTTCAGTGAGACAGATTTTTGTTGGAAAATGGCAATTTTTTGAACGCAAAATATTTCACCTGAAACATGGAGAGGTTTGATGAACTCTTGGCAAATGAGGCATGATTCCCCTACCCTACGGAGTGGCACTCTACCCCTCACTCCCTGGGCTTGGCTGAGAAGTGGCCAGCTGTGCCAGGGATCCAAGGCTCACTGCTGTAGCCTGGGAGTCCAAAAGCCCTGAGAGCTCCAGCTGTAACCAAAGCTCAGCTCTACACCAGGAAGCCTGGAAAACCTAGCTTTAACTAAGGCTTTTAGCACTTTCCAGTTTCCTGCAGAGCTGAGATCGAGATCCTCAGAGTCCTGGTGCAGACGCTGCAGAGCTCTGGGGTAACAGTAGCATTTCCCAAACACAGTTCTGTCAAAATTCAGCTTGGAGTTTCCCATGGTTGTAGATTTGGCCTGATTAATTTTCTATACAGTAAGAGGAATTCAGTCACAAGCTCATATCCAGCATTCCTAGCTCTACATACACAGGACCTGAATTCAGGTCTGCTAAAATGTGAAGCTGGGAGACATCCCTCTTTTAGCCCTTTTTGCATTCAGTGAAGACACATTTTATTAGTGCTGTGTAACTTCTCATTCAGTAGTTCTTCAAGGGCTCCGGAGATTAGGTACTAAACAAACAGATAGCAAGAGAGACTTTCTCTTGGCTAGCCGCTTTACAGAATGACATTGTCAGTATCGTATAAACATGACATTTACAGACAAATTAATTCTGGAATCTTAAAATTGCACCTAACAACAAAAAAATTAGAAGCTAATGCTAACCTAAGATAGTTTTAAAGCAACTATCTTGCAAAAGAATGACAGCACAATAAGTTCTAAATATTAACAGGTTACAACAGAAATGCCAACCACACATTGCCTGTCCACACTACTGGAAACAGGATGGTCTGTGAGCACAGCAGCATGTAAGCACTCTTCCTCATGAAGAGCACCGAGATGTACTAATGGTAGCAAGCACTCTCACCATGGCAACTTTATCTTACACCCACTGAGATTCTGTGTGCCAGGGTTTCTCTCCAGGATCCCCTTCAATCAACATTTCCCTGCCTACATATTTAACCACTTCTTCTAGAGGCCTCTTATCACAATCATCAATACAATGCCTTCTGAAGGCTGTCACTGCTGCAGTCGGGTGGCAAAGTGTGTGGGAGCCCACCTTCTCTTCCCCAGGAGCATGGCATGCCACCCCTGGCAATATCTTTTGAGAATGGATGAGAATAGGGGGGACTGATTCTTCTGATTTGGATTTTTCTCCTGCCCAAAGACAACAGCAGCATCACCAATGGATTTCTCATAAAATAAAGTACATTTATAACTTGCAGCCAAGGAATGACAGAATTCAAACCCAAATATTTAGAATTTTGAAAGGAAGAATTTTAGATCTACAAAAAAACCCCATATGAAACAACATCAAGCCCAATATTTAGCTCCCAATGTCCTGTGTCCAGTCCCACCATAAGACTTTATTTTTTTTTAATTCTCAAAAATAAATAATATTTATTTTAAAATTTGAATGGTATTAGAAATAAAAGCTAAGAATTAAAGTCCCTTTAAAGGAAAAACTATCCCTTATTTTCTCATTCGACAGCAGCTAAAAGAGCCAAGAATTGCCATTTTATGCTATTTGGAAGGAAAAATCAAGGCAGCAACTATTTGCTGTAGAATAAGAAACAAGAAACCCTGTAGAGCTACACAGAAAGCCACAGGGGAGACCCAGGTCATGCAGTGTTACAGTCCAAAAAGCTGCCTTCTCCCTCCATGAGACAGGGAATGACTCGTACACTGTGCTAATGCTACCCAAACCATCAGATGTCCTCTTTAGACTCAACTAGGCTGTTGCTGCAAGAACCACAGGCAGGAGGAGACAAGAGGGGGGCAGCTGACAGGTTTTCTCCAAAGTCCCACTTTGAGCCCAACTGCTGCCAGGTTTGGATCTCTCTGAATTACACTGCAACAAACCACAGTGCACAACCTGCTCATAGAGATTGGTTCTTTCAAAATCCCATAAAACTACTGTTTGACTTATGTCAGAAACATTTAAGGACTTCTACCTTCTGAGTTTATTTCATTTAACGGTGGATATGCTTCTTGACGGTGCAAAGTACTTGTATCATCTTTATTTTAACCCTACAGTCTTCCCAGTCTCAAACACTATTTTGTGGTTCTACATTTTCTTCAGTGTGTGCTTGATATGATATACGCAATAATTTTCAACAGAACTATACGCTGCTTACAAACCTTAGTTTGAGGACTTGGGTACAAATTATCTATTGGTCAAAATTTTTTTTTTTCATTTGTTTCTTTCAGTTTCTCTCGCTGCCTCCTCATTCTCACATCACAAGAAGGAAAAAAAGAAGCTGTTCAATTTAATCTTCTCTATCACACGCATTATTTTGATCACAACTCCTTTCTATACCTGGCAGTCCCATTCTTTTCAGCTTCTTTCTTCAAAGGGAGTTCTTGCCATCCCACTAATCATTTTCATTGACAGCTTTTAAAATCCCTTCTATTTCTGATACATCTTTTTGATGCAGTGACCAGAAGTGAATATCGTACGTGGCAGCATACCATATGTTAATAATAGCATTGTAATATATTTCAGTGTTAATTCTGTTTTATTCTACAGACATTCAAATATCTAATGTATTTTTTAACCACTGCTGTCCATGCCAAGAAAAGGTTTTCATTGAACTGTCTACAATGATACTTAGGTATTTTCCCTGAGTAGTTACAGTTCATTATGTCAGACAGCCAGGTGCATGATTAGCCTCTTGTTTCCAAGGTGTAGTACCTTGTATTTGTCAACAATAACTTCATTTGCCCCCTTGTTTATCTGTCAGCCAGCCTCTTTTTATTCCCTTTCAAGCCTTGCCTTTTCTAATCTTGATTCATGCACATAAGGTTGTATCATCTACAATTCTCTTACCCACAGTCATCATTTTGTGCAGATCACATTTGCTAAAATATGCACAATTCCACTCTTAGTAATGGAACACCCTTCTGTTAGCCTTTTGTCATGCTTAAAATTGCTAATTCCTTCCTACCCTTTGTTTTACTGTCTCTTGGTGAATTTCTAATTTGCCATAGTACATCACATTGCTTAATTTATTTGGCAGCTTCTCAGTGAGAAGCTTTGCCAAAGGCTTTTTTAAAGACCAAATAAATTTCAACTGATTCTTAAGTCCATGATTTTCCTGACATGCTCAAAACATCTTAGTAGAAGAACACATGATTTTCTTTTACAGAAACCACATGTCCCTATCATATCACATCATTCGTATAATTGTATTTTTTTCTGTTACATTTTTTGTTGACATACTAACATTTCTGGTATCATAAGCAGTTTCTTAAATCATCTTTTCATACTTAAAAGCAACATCCCTGCTGATTTACCAGCCAATTTAAGTCATGGGAAGTATACACTGGCCCGTACAGATGTACCACAGTTACAAATACATGTGATCCCACCTAACAAGGTACAATAGGGAGTAGGGATGAGGGAAACGGTGACACAGGCACGTCCTGAAAATTTGTAGTACTGGTGAGGTAGGTCTTTTCTTTTCCCCTTCCTTAAAGTTGGGGTAATGCTTCTAGTTATGAGGCACAGGAAGGGAAGGATTGGCATTCACCTTTCTTTTGTGGGACTTAACAGGGACTTAACTTTAAATTATTTTTTAAACACTCACAATAAGAGGAAATGTTTTTTCTGAGAATTTTCATCCCTAAGCAAAATCAGAACATAAGGGGGTTAGGGTGCTGAATCCATTCACTGCTATATTTGCTTCTGGCTACTCACTCTACTTACTTTTTGTGA